AAAAAATATATAAGGCATGGGTTAGGAGAGAGTAACCTTTACAAGACTGACCATCCCCAATGTATTTAGGATTACAGGCGCAACTGTAGGAGCCCTGGGTATTACTGCAAGAGGCGTGCTCATCGCAAAACCCAGAGTCGGATGTTATGATGAAAAATGTTTTGGTGAATCAAGATATAATGAATATCTATCCTAAATACTGCAAATCTAATCTCAAAGGATATGGGAAAAAACAGAATCCACAATTTTTAATGAGGGATGAATTTTAGGATAAATGATTGACTACTTCTGGCCTTATAATTTGAGCTAAAAAGACGTTTCAGATTACCTCCCGCTTTGAGTAGCTGGGATTGTATGCATAGGAAGAGCAGCAATGGAGGTTGCCTCTCTCTTCGGTAATAAAGGACTTTTCTGAACAATGAAGAAAAGTTATCAAAATCACTTGAGCAAGTTTGTCCATCTCCATAGACATGCATGGATAACGCTGCTTAAAATTATGAGACGATTAACAAAAATTAGTTATATAAGGAAATATCAATAAGATCATCTTCAAAATTACCTGAACATGAGCGTCCATCGCCGATGTATCCCACTTTACACGTGCATTTGTAAGAACCAAACGTGTTAGTACAGTTTGCATTCACGTCGCAATCACTGATATTAAATTTACATTCATCCATATCTAAAATGTTGAAAGAGAAGCAGTGACTAAGTTAGAGCAACTTGAGAGAGGCATCCACCTTAGAACTGATCCAAACTTAATATTACGATAATGATATCAATAATAGTATAATTTATATTAATTTCTTAATACTGATAACTCATTACAAAATAAAATAACTGAAGCAAAGTTATAGGACCTACCTTCGTTAACCATATCACAGTAAATCAGTTTTGCTTTTCCTTTCCTAGTTGGATTCAGCCAGTACTTGCCGCTTATGGTGTGTTTACCTTCACTCGCCTTTATTTCGTGACAAGACAGCGCCGGTAATTCAGGGATAGAACCTAAGGGAGCTGAAGTAAAGATATGTTTTACATTCACTTCCTATTCTTAGCTCTTCCTGGTGAGAAGGAACCAGGCTGAGGATGGAGAAGATTTAAGAGAAATAGAAATCACATTGATGGAAAGACATTTGATTTCTTACCTCTGCCGTTCGATCGCCGCATGTAAAACCAAGCGGGTGCTGAAAGGAAATTCTCTGTTCTCGCCTCCTTGGTGCGGTTATTAAGTTCACATATTTGGTATTTTCGATTGTAGTTATAGCTTTGGCACGTGATCTCTTGTCTACATTTGACATCGCAAAGGTGAGGAGCCGCCAGTGAACATCTTTTGAAGACAGAACTCCCGAGAGCCATTCCTTCTATGTTTACTTCGGTCCGACATTGATCATCAGCTGTGACAAACTTCATGGTAGAAACGAAAGGATGAATCTTAAATGGCGGAACGGCCACCACATACTTCTTTGTTTGTGCTGAATCTGAAAATATTGAGAAAAGGATCATAGAGAGAAAAAAGCCGAGTTTTCTCTCAACAAAACTTGTTTGGTATCAGATGAAGCCATAAAGCAATAATACTACACGCACATTAAAACCTTGTCTGAAAATTCTTTTAAGCACTTTCTACTTCACGATGTGAGTAAATAATATGCACAACGCTCGATAGGATGGTAATTAGAAGTCAAGGAGAATCAGCTAAACTCTTTATATTAAGCTTTAATTTGAAGGCTCCTTCAGTTTTTGTGAATGATAACTTTGATCTGCTTAAGACATTTTGAAATGTCCTCCTTATAGGCCTGATCACTTTAGGCCCCCATAGAAGAACGAATGTACAAGCATTTGAAATCTCCATTTCAAAATTTTGGTTCCAAATGTGAAGTAACAACGATTCGACCTCGACAAAAAGTTCAGAAGAATTAACATAATCTTATTGAGCGAGAAAAAAATACAATCTCTAACAAGCACGCTAATCAAGAATCAATCAACTATCAAGCTGCTGATTTGAAAAACTAATAAGAAAAGAATGTCTCCGTCTCTAGCCTCAAGAAACGTCAAGCCTTCCATCGAATAAGCTATACACAAAGCTATAAACATACAATAACACTCTTGTTTGTATCAATCAGAAGGGTCCCTCTTACAGTGTATGTAGCTTCATTAATTTGTTAGTCCAGGAAGAGTGAATCTCTCTGGTAAAAGGTCACGTTCGACACCTCTCGTTCTACCTTCATGTTTTGCAATTAGAAAGTTATTATGACTAGCACGTAGCAATTTGGGGGGCGGTTCTTATGAACGCCACTTCTTCTTCAACTTTTGTAATCATGATGTTGTTATGTAACCGTCTCCTAAGGCAATTTATCTTAAGATACCCCTTCAGATGTGAATAATATTCTGTCAATAGGTTAGTTATGATTTTTATATTACCAATCTCGTTTCTGTTCTGGCCGATCTCAACTGTAAGAATAAGAAATTTAAGGTAGAAATTGATTTTGTAACTGCGCAAGTTACTCGAAGGCGCATATCTAGTAAACAGGAGCTGTCATGCGTAATCTAACGTGATTCGCTGGCTGGGATGGAACGATGACGATACAAGAAGATTGACAGCTTAGTAGTGTTATCTGTAGTGTCACTTTATAAACGGTGACCCTCGCTTTTCTCATTAGATAGGAGATAGACGCGTTGTAACAACTTGAGAAGAAAAGAGATTAAAGAAGAATCAACCAAACAAATATCGAGTGTTAGAGATTTTAATTTTAACAAAAACTCATACTGAGGTCCAACGCGGCTAGCTCATCATGGCGATCTCCAGTCATCGCAGTCTAGTAAGCCTCAGAAATTATATCTGTCGCCCTTCGAGAGAACAAGTAGGAGCTTGCTCCGATATCCTTTCAGATGAGTTGAATGGAAGGCCACATCAGTCACTGCAGCCGAGTTTTACGGCGCTGTCATCCAGAGCAATCTTCATGTTCCGTTAAATTCGGATGTCGTTCATTCATAAAACACACGTTTGAACAGTTTGTTTTTTATTTGGTTTAGATGCATCCTTGTCATTTCTTTCCACGTCACGAAGGTGATGAAACAATGAATTTCCACGTCACCTTCGCGACGTGGAAAGAAATGACAAGGACGCATGCAAAATAGTCGCTAGACACTTGAATCTCCCTAATCATTCAAAACAACATATGGCGGTTTGCTGCCTTTTCTTACATCTGGGCATTTCGGAAAGCCGCAAAACACTAGAGCAAATTAAAATTTACCTTCCAAACGGCACTCTTAATCCCCACGGTATCAACGAGCGCATTTTGTTCAACTTATTTATTCTTGTTTTGTCGTCGCCATATTCCCACCAATAGCGTAGCTCCACTTTTTGTATATAAACCCACGCACAACCCACAATTCCTCGAATCGCTCTGACGAAGGGCTAACGCTCGAAACGTCAGTTTTTTTACTCTTTACGATGGCCAATTTACGTTTCAACTCAGTTGTTAACACTAAATTACCTGCATGCTTAGTCTTGTACAACCAATCAGATTATTGGAACCATTCTAATAGGAATTCTGATTGGCTTATTATGGCGTGCTTTATGAGAGTATAGAGCATACTGACGTCACTGTTGTTCGCTTTGGAAATAAAGTTTGTTTTGAAAATTGAAAGGGGAATTTTAACGGATTCTTTATTATGAAACAAAATTTTTTTTTAGAGGAAAGCTCATTTAAAGAGTCGAGAGTCCAATCAAACCTAGAAAATATTAATATATTTAAAAGGTACCAGATGGCGATTTAAGTCTCACTAAAGGAAAGAGATATCTCAACAAATCAACCTCTCTCTTCCTAAAGTTCGGAAACCCTTCCGAAGATTATCGATTATTCACTTGAAGGAATACGATGAACTTTGCACTTCAACAACACGAGCGATAGTACCTTTAACGACAACAAAAAGATAAAGTGGAATCGGTTTTGTTTACTGACATCTGGAAAGTGATAATTCATTTTCTTCTCATGTAACCTTAAACTTTTTACATGTAGAGAATTTGAATAGCAGGCGATAAGAAGGTTTAGGCTTTGGGAAAGTCAATTTAGATTTTCTAAAGTACAGCAAAGAAAAGTAAACCTCTGATTGCTTAGACGTGCTATTTGTCTTAGGCTCATTGTCAGTTATAACTAAAACAACCCGAGTAACAGATTACACCTTCTCTGTTACCGGTTGCATACACGCAAATAAGCCTGAAAAGGTTATTAAATTAGGTTTTAACTGGTCGTCATTCCGGGCCTCTTTCTGGTGTTGTTTAGTTTTTCGCTGGAATGGCTTGTAGAAGAGTTACTGGCATGGACAGCATTTTCTACTAGCAACACGTTTTCCTACAAGATTCACCTGTAAAGGTATGATTTAATCAAAATAAGGAATACTATACTCCTACAATTTTAAACTATTTTATTAAACAACTTATAATAATTCTTTCTCATGACCTACTCCTATAGGCAATACAATAATTGTTATATAAAAACTTACTTAAGCCCACTATAATTTATAACTTTGCTCTCTACTGATACCAAAGACTCACCCTTGCCTCCAAATCTCCTCAAAGTACACAATCTTTGAAGTATATAACGGTACGGAGCTATCTTTTGTTAGAGCTCACTAGACAGTTGATCTTTTCCGACAAAAAAAAAAATATTACTCCTAACTGACTGAGTCCTTATATACATTCACAACGCATTTCAAAACGAATATAAGCGACCCTCTCAGCTATGAACACTACTGAACTAGTAGTTGACATAAGACCTGAAAAAAAACAGGCCCTTACGGGATTTGAACCTATAATCTTTACGATACCGGTGCAGCGCTCTAACAACTGAGCTATCAAGCCAACTAGATACTGATTATTATGTTGGATCCGAATAAACCTTCCAAGTGGTGAATAATGACTGCAAATATATGAAAATCATATATACACTGTGGTGAAGAAACGAATATAAGAGATCCAACATAATGACCAGCTTCCAGTTGGCCTGTTGGCTCAGTTGTTGGTAGAGCGCTGCGCCGGCATCGCAGAGGTCATGGGTTCAAATCCCGCACGGGCCTGAATTTTTTTCAGGTCTTATTTCAAGTACTAGTTTAGTAGTGTTCATAACTGCGAGGATCTCTTATATTTGTTTCTTCACCACAGTGCGCATACATGATTTTCATATATTTACAGTCAGTACTTCAAAACATTCCGGAATTCGAAGCTTACAACACAACTATTGTGGTAGAAATACATCATAATTACACAGCCTAATAGAATGTTCTAGTTTTCCATATACGTCATCAGAAAGTTTGAGTATCAATGTAACAGTGACTAACAATTATGCAATTCTAGAAATTATTTACAGTCTCTATCAACAACACACCTAAGCTGCTTTAGTTTCTAACGACCTGATTAAACATCAAGAGTGCCTAAAACTTACATAGTGAAGCACCTCGATTGGAATAGATAGAGATATTATGATTATTTGGAAGCTTACTAATGCCTATAGTTGTTGACATTAGCTGGGGGACGGGGGGGGGAGTCTGTTCTATTACTCGGATAAACAACTATTGTTCAGTCGACTCTGATGATGATTTCCGCTAAGGTTATAGAAACGTCAGTCACTATTACTGATTACTTGCATTCACAACTTCTCAGGAGCACTCTTACCTGGAAGATCAAACTAAGCAGTCCAAAGGTACTTTTGTGTTGAAACTACTCACTGTTTAACACTAATCATAAAAAGTGGATCATATAAAATATTTTAAGTCCCTGTTATCATTGATGTACATGTGCGTGCCAATAAATCGATTTGTGAATCCTTTCACTTTGCAGAATAACTTGCTTATAGCATTTAGTCTGTGCCACAGTAGCGCAGAGAACAAGCAGGGGGCTTTCCCAGTTTGTAAATAAAGTAGGGTCCGCAGTCTTTCACTTTAATGTTGTTTGATTTCTTGCAACAATCTCCACCACTGGTAAAGCAGACCTCTGAAGAAACCTCACCATCTGCCAATGTGGGGTGACCACCTTTTAGCCAGCCTGAGAAGACCGCACCACATCTGAGCCACGGTACGCACTGGGTTGGCATTTTTGTTCCTGCATCTCCCACAAAACGATACCATTTCCCGAATATTAAGGATGAGGATTCGTCGTCACATTTTTCTCCACCTTTGGGTGTGTTGTAAGTGCTCTTTCTGTCAGCATCGCTCAGGTTTCTGTAATCATAGCACGGATCGGCTAAAAAGTTGAATTTCGGTTAATGTGATGTTTTATATGTTACGTTGTAAGAAAGCTTAAGAAAAAAAAGCTATTATATAAAGTGCGGTGGTTTGAAACGATTTCCCGCTCAGGTTAACAAATGAATGGCAAAGCGATGACCGTTCTCAATCCAGGGTCGCATGTCGAGATTTTCTCGAATTATGGCAGCTAAAAAAAAAAAGAAAAATTTGTATTTCTAACCTCAAAATTTCCTAGAAGGGAAAGTAAAACAAATACGAAAAAATAAACCTAAAGTTAGGTCCTTGACCTGGGTAATGGTATTTTTCGTGGCTGAGAACGAAAATCGACAACTGCAAGATTTGCCGCAGGCCGATTTCGGCCGTGTACATGAAAATATTTCTTTTGTCGGTAAGGAAAAAGTCAATAACTGAGAATTTTGTGAAAAGAAAGCTACGCCCATTGTCTGTTTCTGTAATGGTTCAACGCATTTTTTCATCTTGAGCCTTATCGCCGACGCGCTATACGACTTTTTTTGCGGATTGTAAAACCTATAATTTCATATTTTAAAAAGGACGACTTTTCTTCCCAGTAAAGGCCTATTGTGTTAACATGATAAACAAAATAATAGATGGTCGCTTGCAGATATGGAACTTCTCTTCTCGTGTTTATCTCGATATCAAGAGATTATAACAGTTTATATTCTCTTGCTCGATATTTTACTCGTTCGCTGCTCTCACTGACGAGATAACAAGTTGAATATTCGAAGAGAAATTCCAAATCAAAGCGCACCCAAGTATTATTCTCTATTTATTGAATGAGTACAAAATAGCCAAGTTTGTCATACAGCCTCAATAAAAAATCCTTTAAAAGTTACCATACTCAACTAATCTCAATGCACGACTGTGGCGCGATCGTTCGGTGATCGCTTTTCATACAGCCCTGCAATCATCGACTGCCTACCACAAAAAAGGTTGTTGATGAATGTAAAGCCATTAAAATTGTTAATAGGTGCTCCCGTAAAAATTTCTCAGGGCTAGAATTATTTGACCGTGAAAAAGTTTTCTGTGTCGTAATGGAATTGTACTGAAGTAACTGGTCTTTCTTCAAACTGAGCAGATATGCAATTACCACTTCGTTGAGAGCCGATTACTGCTTAAGCAATAGAGAACCTTTTTTTCCGTGTTTACAAACTCTCATCTAAACACGAGAGGAGGTTAGGAGAATTTGGGAAAGTTATGCAAACCCGATACGCAGTCAAGGGTTTGCATAACTTTCAAGCAATTTCCTAGCCTCGATTGTTTAAATAAGAAAATGTAAACACGGGAAAAAGTGCCCTATATATTATAAGCATATCTCTCCAATAACGTTACAGAGGAAGGTAAATGTTGTTTGTTTATATCATGACTGATAAATATTTTCTCAACACTTGCTTTGGACGACAGTGTTTTCTAATAGCCAATCAAATCGTGCATCTGACAACAAATAAACCAATCAAAAATTCGCGTTGTAAAAAGTCAAGTTGAAATCGCGGTAAGTGCCAGCACCGTGTAAATGAAACTATTCAGGTTTGAAGTCTCGTAAATTTGACACAAAATACCGAGAGTGTTTGAAATATGCAACTCCTTAAGGAAAGAACTTCAAGAGGAGGAGTTTGATTAAATTGAAAATGAGCGTTACTGTAATTAACCTTTTCTTTAAATTGACGAAACCTTGCCCGATTTAACAGCCCAAAGACATGATTGAGAAGTTGAATCGCTCATCGCGCCTTGTAAAGTTTTTTGGTTAGTGCAGTTTTGTGCGAGCCTTTCCCAGTGACTGACAAAATCTTCTTCCTTCGGTTTAAGTCACTCCTAGTATTGCATTAAGTGCTGTTGGATTTCTGTCTGCAAAAGTCTTTAATTTCGACTTCATACTATGCTCGTAGTTTCGTCGGCTACACTCGAATTTGTCTACGTTTTCCTTATTTGGACAAATATTCTTCCATTAATTACTATTTAAATATACAAACCAAACTGAATATTACTATCAGCCTAAAGGTGATTCCTCAGTATTGCACTGGGCATCCTGTACTGCGCATAAAAATCACGTAATCAGGCAAATAAGCGCACGCATTCCGAGAACATGGTGTTGCTTTTCAATAAATAGACCGTGCAAACAGGTACAATGCTCTTTAGCTCTTGAACGAGCGCGGTGACCTCTATTTTTCATTGCATATTTTTTGCGTAGAAATTAAGAATTTGGAGAAATTAAGAAAAATTATCGAAGGCAAAAAAAAAAGACATAGCTAAAAGCGTGTTACTTGATGATGAAAATTATTACCTTGAAAACAACGACGTGAGGAACGTTTTGAGCAATAATAATTGCTAATATATATAAGTAATTTCCACAAATTACATATAAAATTTTCCCCGCGCTCGAAACTTTGTACCTTTGAAGTTTTTTCTTTTAATTTTTACTTCGGAAACCCTTGCTTCCAGCTACCGAAAAATGTACCTTGAAATGACGCGCGTGAAAAATTGCTAATAGAGGCATAAATGAAGAAAGTTTGGCCCGTCATTTCTCTCAAACAAGCACGGTGACCTGCCTTTCTTATTGCATTTGTCGAAACAGCCATTGGTTGGAAACATTTAAAGGCAGACTAATAAAATTGTTAGATGACTTTTTTTTTTTTTTTGAGGAATCACCCACCTTATTAGGTTAGAGTGAGAAAATCGTAACTGCGGTCAACATCGATTTTAACCAATCAGACTATTCTGTTTAATTGAGACATCATCAATATAATTCAATTGCAGAACAGTTATGCATCATCAAAAAAAAAATTATTTCCTCTCCTGGTGGACAAAAACAATGCGCATCAAGTCTACAAATATGATGTAAAAAATCAAATCTATCTTTCTTTATCCCCCATGTTTTGTCGAAGGACGTTTCCAAGATTTCTTACATGGCCAAACAAGCACAGCCATTCACTCAACATTATTTACAGCGAGTTCAGCCAGTACCATCTCTAAAAAATATATAAGGCATGGATTAAAAGAGACTAACCTTTACAAGTCAGACCATCCCCAATGTATTTAGGATTACAGGCACAACTGTAGGAGCCCTGGGTATTACTGCAGGAGGCGTGCTCATCGCAGATGTTCATCTGTGAACACTCGTCAATGTCTGATGGGGATCAAGTGCACCACGTCACAACCCAGAGTTGGATGTTATGATGAAAAAGGTTTTGGTGAATCAAGATATAATGAATACCTATCCAAAATACTGCAAATCTAATCTCAAAGGATATGTGAAAAAACAAAACAATCCACAATTTTTAATGAGGGATGAATTTTAGGATAAATGATTGACTAATTCCGGCCTTTTAATTTGAGCTAAAAAGACGTTTCAGATTATCTCCAGCTTTGAGTAGCTGGGATTGTATGTGTAGAAAGAGTAGCAATGGAGGTTGCCTCTCTTTGGTCATAAAGGACTTTTCTGGACATTGAAGGAAATTTATCAAAATCACCTGAGCAAGTTTGTCCGTCTCCAGTGTATCCAGTGTGGCATGTACATACATGTGATCCAATTGTGTTGGTACAGTTCGCATTCACATGACAAGAAAGATTTCTTGCAGATTCGTCAATATCCGAGAAATGACAGGCTTTCAATCACGATTCTTGGAGTATGATACATTTATAAACCTCGTTATTTTGAGCATTGAGTGTATTTCGTCCTCTTGCTTTCAATTGGGATCATTTTCTTTTTTTGGTAAAAAATATTAAGGCAAGGGTAACTACTTTATCAAAACAAACAAACAGGGAAGGTACGTACAAAATAAACAAACAGTTAAAAATAAAAACACAAGCAAACAAATGAA